ATTATCTTCAGAATATCTCTACCTCCACAATAGGGAACATTGGAATATCCTTTCTACAAATAACCCCACCCCTTCCCATCTTTCTACTTCTCTTGCTCTCATTTTTTAAAATCCTTTTAAAAATAATTTTCAAAATTGTTGTAAAATAAAGATTAATATTTATCATTTTAACCACTTTTAAGTGTACAGTACAGTGACATGAAGTACTTTCATATTGTTGACAACCATCTCTAAAATTTTTTTCATCTAACTAAACTGAAACTCAATATCCATAAATAGTAGCTCCGCATTTCTTAATTTTTTAAATCTCATCCAAAGGCTTTTTTAAAATTGATTTTTAGAGAGAGAGAAAGGTGGAAAGGGGGAGAGAGAGAGAGAGAAACATTGATGTGAGAGAGAAATATCAATAGGTTGCCTTCCATATGCTCTGCAACCTAGGTATATGCCCTGACCTGGAATCAAACTTGCAACATTTTGGTACACAGATTGATGCTCCACCCAACAGGGCCACTTGGCCAGGGCCCTTAGTTAATTTTTAATATATTCTCCAAGAAGTTATTTCAGGCTTTTCCCACTTATTCTCAAAAAGTCAAACTCATGCCTATTTCTCTTAACCTCTATAACTTTTCTCACAGTCTATTTTATGAAGATGATTCAGGCCATTTACAAGACCCTCAAGTTCATGTTCATGCATCTTAAAATTTCACATTTCTCTCATTCTCTCCATTTTCCTCCTTTCTTACAAAAAGAAGTATGCCTCCTCCCTTTCTTTTCTTTTTTTTTTTTAATTTTGTAAGATTTTATTTATTTATTTTTAGAGAGAGGAGAAAGAGGGGAAAAAACACCCAATGTGAGAAACACCAATCGGTTGCCTCTCCTACACACCCCTAACCCACAACCCATGCATGGGCCCTGACTGGAAGTCGAACCAGCAACCCTTTGCTTTCTGGGAGGATGCCCAACCAATTGAGCCATACATCAAGGCTGCCTCCTCATTTTCAAAGCTGACCCTTCCACTAGAGTTATCTCCCCTCTCTCTTTGTCTCCTTTACAACTTTTTTATATCAGTTTTCTCCTTTACATGGTTCCCTTCTCTCTGCATTAAAGCATTCACTAGAGTCCCACATTACAATAAAAAATCTCAAAAATCTCTATTAATATTACAATAATAATAAAAACATGTATTAAGTTCCTACTATGTCCCAGCTACTGGGCTAAGTGCTTAAAATATACTTTCTCATATAATTTTCACAAACCCAATGAGTTCAGACTATGAGGGAAATCATTATTATAAATAAACTGAGGCTTTAGAAACTAATTTGCCCAAGATCACCTAGCTAGTAAGCAGCATCTTCTCTTCTACAGGTACTCTGTTGAGATACCATTTACTCTTTGTTTCCCTTTCATTACTATACCTCTTGAAAAAGTCTTACTTCCTTCTTCTTCACTGTGCAGTCCACTGCAGTTTCTTGGAGAGCCCATCATATTAAAAGGACTCTCTCTGGAGGATTAGAAATCTCCAGCTGGGTCTCTGTAGTGTTCACCACCAAATGTTCCCTTTTTGAGAAGATCTTCTTCCTCCTCTTCTTCTTCTTCTTCTCCTTCTTCTCCTTCTCCTTCTCCTTCTCCTTCTCCTTCTTCTTCTTCTTCTTCTTCTTCTTCTTCTTCTTCTTCTTCTTCTTCTCCTCCTCCTCCTCCTCCTCCTCCTCCTCCTCCTCCTCCTCCTCCTCCTCCTCCTCCTCCTCCTCCTCCTCCTCCTTCTTCTTCTTCTTCTTCTTCTTCTTCTTCTTCTTCTTCTTCTTCTTCTTCCTCCTCCTCCTCCTCCTCCTCCTCCTCCTCCTCCTCCTCCTCCTCCTCTTCTTCTTCTTCTTTTTTCTGGTCTTCTTTGCTAACACTTTTCTTGCTCCTTAAATATAAGATTCCTTACAGTTCCATCTAGACAAAGCTTCCTCTTCCTGCCCCACTCTCAGTTGAGACAATCTTATTTATTCCCACAGTATCAACTCTTACACTTTCACAAATGAAGACCAAATCAACACAGCTAATTTTGTCCTCCCCAACCATAACTCAGTTCCAGCTCCCTGCTGAAATTTCTATATAATTGTGCTTCAAGAATCTCAAACATTACCTGCCTCACATCACACTCATTAACTGTCCCTATTTCCTACCTAGAACCACTGTCTCCACTTTAACTTCCCTTCACTTCTCATCTTCCCCAGTCTAGAGCTGATACACCCACATCGAAAAAGAGCTGTGGCGGGTCTGTGGCAGATGCAACTCTGAACTGGGAGTGAAAGTTAGGTTCTAACTTTGTCTAGCCACTAGGGACTCTGTGACTTAGTGGATCTGGAACAGACATCTCTGGGGCCCTTTCTCATGCTAATTTCCAGTGAGACAGGCTAATAACCCAGGATAAGTGGAATAGGAAAACAGAGGCAGATAGTTAAATGGCCAAGCCATTTACAGCCATCTAGTAAATCCCAAAATTCTATCTTCACTCACCAAGAACACAGAGTAAATGATTTACACTTCTCCTCCTCAAACAGAGGATAAATAGCTTAAAACACCCTATTCAGGGAGATGGATAACAAAAACCCAATTAGTGCCATTGGTGCCAACTACACCTAAGGACAGATGGAGTTAAGGGAATAAATCTTATTTCAGCTCATCAGCATAAAACTGATGAATATTCTATTAAGATCCTCCCCTAAGACATCCTCTAAACTTCCAGCCTTTAAAATCTTCAAGATGAAGGACCCATGGTGCACTGTCCCTCTAAGGAACACAACTGTGCTTTTTCCTTTTCCATTTTCTTTCTCCACAGGCATACAACTCCTAAACTGTAACAGACCCCATGAGATTTGCAACCAGGGGAGCAATGGGCAGTGACAGCTTGTCCTGGACTAACCCCCTGAACCTGTTTCCAAGGCCCCTTTCCTCTGACTTTGCTGGGAGCTGACAGCAGTCCCACCTTGGCTCCCTTATGTCACTATGAGTTTTATTTCTCAGTGAACCAAAACAACCCCGCCTAGGCTCCCTCCTGTTTCTTCTGTCCTAAGCCCTTTCTTGTTTCACTGTCCTCAGCTTTAATAAACTCACCCTCAAAATGACCTGGATTTGTGTTGTGAAGTCTTTTCTGTATGAAGTCAAGAACTTACACACTACCAGCCAGCCAGAGGCAGACCTGCTTCTGCCTTGTCCTTTTCTGGTAAGACTGGGGCTATATGAAATGCCTGCAGTACTCATTACCTGCTTTCTCTCCTTACCAGTCTCACTCACTTGCTCTAGATTTGTCCTTTCTACTTTTTGCCAGGCTATTTTAATTGGCCTCCTAACTAGCCTTCTTTCCTCTTTCTTTTCTTTTCTTCCTTCACACAGCCATAGAATTACATTCACAGTACACATTCTTTATGATATTTCACTTGCTTTACAAACTTTCAAAAGATTCCTGCTAGCTATAGGATAAAATTCAAACTTCTTACTTTTGTACTCACAACCCTCTGCACGGCGGTCCCTATATAAATTGGGTTACATATGTGGTTGGTATGAACACTTCGGGGAAAAAAAATCTCTTACTTATTCCTTATACTAAAAGTAATTGTGAATAAAATATTTAGGTATTAAATAATAAACCTTAAAAGTCTTCTAAGATAGCATAATAAACTTATTTGTAATCTTGGAGGAGGTGAGTTCTTTGGAACCAGGACACAAAACCCAGAAGTTCTACAAGAAAACATTGATTAAATTTAAGCACATAATATTTGAAAACTTACATATGAAAAGGAAATGCCATTAACAAATTCTAAAGATAAGTGGTAGTGGGGAAAATTTCTCAAAACACATCACAGGCTGGAGTTTTATTTCTTAATTTACAAAGAGTTTGTATAAATCAATAATTTATAGAAATTGACAACAAACATGATTTTAAAAAGATGCTCAATCTCACTAAATAATAAAAAGAATAAAATTTGAAGCTGAGATAATTCTGCTAAGGCAATAGAGAAAAAGGCATGAACCTGGATTGTTGAAAAAGTTATAAAGTGACACAAATTACTAGAAGTCAATTGGGTAATATCTATTAAAATAGAAGATGCACATACCTTTTGATCTACCAATTCCATTGCTAGGAATTTATGCTACCAACAAACTTACAAAGATTTACCAAGAATCACAACACACACACACACACACACACGCAGCTGTCAGTTGCAAGGTTGGTGATATTAGAAAAAGAAAAGGAAGAAAAACCTGGAAATGGCTGAAGTGTTAATCAATAAAAGATTAGTTATGTATATTTATATGATTGAATAGTATTAATATAATAATGCTTCCTGTAAAAGAATATTTCCAACATGTTAAGTGTTCATGATGTAGTGTTAATTGAAAAATGAGAAAAGGCAGCTTACAAAATATTTGCGGTGTGATTCCACTTTTGCATAAAAAGTAGATATGCATAGTATTTCTACATTGAAAAACTGTCAGGATCTATAGCAATATGCTTCCCTGTTATTTACACATTTATAAGTGCATGCACATCACTTTTTAAAGATTTTATTTATTTTTAGAGAAAGGGAAGGGAGGAAGAATAAGGAGAGAAACATCAATGTGTGGTTGCCTCTTGCACACCCCCTACTGGGGATCTGGCCTACAACCCAGGCATGTGCCCTGACTGGGAATCAAACTGGCGATGCTTTGGTTTGCAGGCTGGCACTCAATCCACTGAGCTCCACCAGCCAGGGCACATGATTTTTATAAACAGGAAAAAACAAAACAAAACAACTTTAAAAGCTGTCAACTTTGTAGAAAAGAGAAAGGCAGTCAAATAATCTGTGCCTTTATATGCTACATATTAGGCAATAAACACTAACTAGAGTTCATGTCATAAAGGCTTTGATAAAAATTAATAATTAACTAAGAATAACTCACTGAAAGTAGAAGAGCGAAAATAATGCAAAAGCTCTATTTAGAATTTGCCTGTGGGAACAAGATGTGCTCCCACTCATCCTACCTTCTCAACTGGCTCTATTTGTATTGCCTCATTCATCAAGTGCTGTTACCCAATGTTGCTTAATCCAAGTTTGCATGTATAAATAGAGTTGGAATATAACTGCATTGACTACTACCAAGTGTTAGCAGCAGGAAACCTCATCACTTGAAACCAGTCCTTCATGTTTATAACTTAGGTAAGTATCATAAATAGTGTGCAAGAGTATTTGCCATACGTTGTTGGAAAAGCAGCACAAAAGAACCAATGATGTTTATATTGCTATATAGTCTGAAATATTTTTTATTATTATTTTTTAAAATTTTATTTTAATTTATTTTTTCAAATACATTTGTCTCTGCCTACCCCCCACCACTTTCCCTTGCCCCCTCCCTCCTTCCCTCCCTAGCTCTTCCCCTTTGGTTTTGTCCATGAGTCCTTGCTATGTGTTCCTGGACTTTCCCCTTCCCTTCCTTTTCCCTGCCCCACCCTCCCTCCTTCCCTCTTGTCTCTGTTGATTTCTTTTCCTTTCAGTGTTGCTGGTCTTATTTTCCTTGCATCTTTGTATTGTTGGTTAGGTTCCACTTATAGGTGAGATCATATGGTATTTGTCTTTCGCCCCCTGGCTTATTTCGCTTAGCATAATGCTCTCCAGTTCCATCCATGCTGTATCGAAGCTTAGTAGTTCTTTTTTTCTTTCTGCTATGTAGTATTTCATTGTGTATATGTACCATAACTTTTTTTTATTTTAAAGTAGAAGAGTAAATAGTAAACTTTTAATTCTGAAAAAATAGTAAAAGAAGTGATCATATTTTTTAAGGGAGAAGATTTGTAGATTATTTACAGAGAATGCTTTATTTTTTAGAATAGGACTTGGAAATATTTCCTGACTATGCTTTTGACTTATGTGATTCTTAAAAAACAGCCAACTTTGTCTGTGTCAAAGACTCTATCCTAAATGTGGTATTTTGGTTTCTTATCTACATTGTTTAACTATGCAAGTTAAGGAATGGTTGAGAGCAGAGTTCATAGAACTAGTCTGTGAGGGTGTTAATAGAAGGGGTTGGGGAGTTTACAAAATCAGACCCAGAGTGCTGGCCTGTGAACAGAAAGTCTACCAGTTCAATTCCCAATCAGGGTACCTGCCTGGGTTACAGGCCATGTCCCTAGATGGGCGCATTTGAGAGAACTGATCAATGTTTCTCTCTAGAAATTTAAAGAAAAATCTTTAAATAATTCACTGCTTTCCAGCACCACAGGATATTCTACATTCACCTCTGTTTTCTCAGACCATATCTAGTCCCAGTTCTCTTTAGTGAAAAAATTACTTAGAAACTAAGATATGGGCATGCCAATGTTACTGATCCAAATTTAACATCACTGGAATTTCCCCTTGGCCTTTTTAATTTTATATTTGTATCTCCTTTCCCCAACAGTGAAAATCGTATAATATTAGTACATCTATTTATTTGCTGTATCCTGTAGTAGAGCAGTCTCAAAATTCCAATAGCAATATTACCATTAATAACAAAATGACTAAGTAAAGCTTAAGATTTCTTTGCAATTCTTTTTGTCCTGTGACTATATTCTAGCATAGATATATATTTGGAATACTGTGTTCAAGCATTACTGAAATAATTATTTCTCTTGGTGGCTATGTTATCAATTTTATACTGCATTAGCCACAGTTGTTTCTGTCTGTTTTCAAGTTAAGACAATTGAACTAATACTATATTATAACCCAACAGAAGCCTGAAGAGTAAAGCCTGAAATGAAGTATTCAACCACCAAAATTTCCCCAACAAAGATGAACAACTTAGCAGGAAAAGACCTGGTAAAATCTTCCAGGTTGGGAAGTAAGGACTGAAGCATTTCTGATTGTTTTATACACTTTTTTTCTTAACTTGTTCTCAAACCTTTATTATCCAATGTTTATACATGTTACATACCAAAAGTTACTAAGAATGTAAGAGCTGAAATTGAAGGGATGACTCCTAAGTGTTCAATTCAGCAGCATTTGGTTTTAAACAAACCACATACAGCCAACTTCTACTTACTTGATGGATGGCAAGACAGGAATGGCTCAGATAATATAAACCTGCTAATAGTAATAAACATAATTATAGGCTTTTCTATCAGTTCCTTCTTTCCATCTACACCTCCTGCCACCAAATCCCCCCAATTTTTTCCCAGATTAATAAACAAAATGTAAACTGAGACACTTTCATTCAACAAACATTTATTAAGACCTTGGTGTATCAAACTTGTAGTCTTAAATTGTAATTCCTTATAAAGGAGAGAATATAAGTGAAGATATTTGAATAATCCAGGCCCCAAATAAAGAAGTATTCACCAAATGATGCTTAAGTCTATCCAGTTACAAACTCAAAGGGTTTGAAATAAACTGAAGTGTAAAAAGAATTAGGTAGTAGTCATAGCTTCAAGATGAAAGAGCAATATACCTCTTTTATCCTGGTATGATCTATCCTGGACAATAATTATACAAATTTATACTCAGATTTTTCTTACAGGAACAGTTATACAAAAGAGTTAACAGAGCCCTGGTAGACTAGAGCAAACACAGGACAAGGAATGATGGTAGGGACTGCATATCCTTGTCCTTTAGGATCCTCTCTATTTTCCTAAACATCTTTAAGGCTAGAAGAGAAAGCACTGTTAAACTATATCATTTCTGTACTCTTTAAGTTCCAGACCACCCACAGTGTTCTTTGTTTACCAGGGAAAACACTAATTTGGGTGTGACTTCTTAACCAGGAAATCATAGCTAAGTTAGTCTTTTTATCTGAGTCTGAGTCAAAATGCTCCATATAGCATACAATGACTCAGTGAAGTGACTCTGCATCCCCAAATACCCTCTTGATAAAGAATCTGTTGTCTTTGTACCTCAGGATATGTGGGCTCTTCTTTTTTTAAATTCTCATCCAAAGATATGTTTTTATCTTATCTTACTTTATTTTACTTTGGGAGAGAAAAAGAGAGAAACATTGATCTGTTGCCTCCTGTACACACCCGAACTGGGGATTGAATACGCAACCTAGATATGTGCCCTGACAAGGAATCGAACCCTCAATTTTTTGGTGTACAAGATAACGTTCCAACCAACTGAGCCACCCAGCCAGGGTGCAATGTGGGATTTTTAACATTACACAGGCTGGTGTCTACAGGAGTTACTGGCATTGATGCAAAAATTAAAATGTAACTTCTCCTCTAAGGGTGCAGTGGCTTATTTGCACCTTTTAGAAAAACAGTGATAATGATAACCTCCAAGTTGCTATTAGGACTTTGAATTGCATCACATTATTTTTATTGTCTCTTAACAGATCTTCCTTTCCAATAATATTGGCTCAGTTTAATACAAAAAAATTGCCATTATTTAAACACTCTCGGTCAAAAATTCAATGGATAGTTGTGAGGTGTGTGATAGGCATGAATCACTTCTCAAAACTCTAGGTGCACTCTGGCCAGGTAGCTCAATTTATTAGAGCATAAGCCAGATATGCCAAGATTACAGTCTGATCCCTGGTCAGGGCACATACAAGAATCAACCAATGAATGCATAAATAAGTGGAACAACAAATCAATGTCTATCTATCTCTCTTCCTTCCTCTCTCTCTAAAATCAATAAACAAATGCAAAAAAAAAATTTTAAAACTCAAGGTGCAAGAAATGTGATATATTTTTCTAAATAAAATGCTCTGAGCCTCCCCCCAAAAAAACAAGAAAGTTCATTTTAATTCCTTTTCCTCTCTTGAGCTAGCAGGATCTAACACAATCCACAGCTCACAAAGCCACAGCACTCATCATCCAACTGCTACAGGTATTCATACAGTCAGGTCGCTTCATTTGCTAACGGGATACAGGAGGGGTTCATGAGCAGGAGGAAAACTCCTCCTGAAAATCATCCCATTCCAAGTTTCCAGGAAGCTACTCCTCAGGGTCAGCCCATTCTTTTCTGCTACTTCCTCTCCCCGACATCCATCAATTTTTTCCCTTCCCTGACAATTCAGCTTTCTAATGTGTATAGGCAGAAGTCATAATATGGGGACCTTGAGACAGGTCCACCCAACAGAAGTATTTTATTTGACCTGAACACAATTATTGATGTTATTTTTTTAATTGAGGCCACAATTAAAAATTAGGGTATTTTGCATAAAAATCTGAATGTATGGCTTAAAAAAAATCTGAAGATCTAGTAGCACTGGCTCATGTTTGTACATGGCAATGTTTGGGGATAGAATTGAGGAGAGATCACCCTTTAATTTGGGTCTGTCCATGGAAAATCTTCCATTACAGTGAAGGAGCTTGTGGACAGTAGGGAATCACTGAAAATGTTCAATTGGAGAAATTACAAAATATATTTATTTTAGAGAAGTCATCACCATGTTGGTGATGGTGTGAAGAGGGAGGTAGGGGGGAAAAGTAGAAACTAAAACTGGTCAGAAGTCTACCAAATACATTCATCTAGAGGACTGATAATGAGAGCCTGACCTAAGATAATAGAAAGGAAAGAAAGCACTAAATTTCACATACATTGAGAAAATGAAATCATGAGGATTTAATGACAGATTGAATAAATTGAGGGATGGAGAAAGAGGGCAAAATGGATGATTTTCCACTTTCTGATTTAAGAATTGGTTAGACAATGGTAGATAATGGTACTGTCTTTCAAGATAGGGAATTCAAGAATATATTGGGGGTAGGAAAAGGTAAAATTTTTGATTTTGTTTTTAATAAGTATTTTAGAATTTAGAGGAGGTGTAGGTCATCCAGGTAGAGATGTCCAGAATTCAGAAGGCTCTACATAGGTAGAGATACAGATTCTTTAAGTTATGTGAAGTCAAAATGCCCTGTGGAGAAGGAGCAACAGAGACACAGCCCAGGAGAGAGACTAAGGGTAGAGTTAGAGTTTGAGGAGTCATCAGCATATAAAAAGATGATTGAAGTCCTCAGAGCAAGCAAGATTGCTCAGAAAGTGTCACACCAAGAGTGTCCAACCTGTGACCTGAGGGCAGCATGTAGCCCAGGATGGCTAGACACAACATAAAACTGTAAATTTGCTTAAAACATTATGAGATTTTTTTTGTGATTACGGGTCACAATGTATTTAACGTGTGGCCCAAAACAACTCCTCTTCTTCCAGTATAGCGCAGAGATGCCAAAAGGTTGGACACCCCTGATAGAGTGAGAGAAAAAGACAAAGGACAAAATCCTGAGGAACATCAACATTTTAGGAGCAGGTAAAGGAGGAAGAACTAACAGACAGCAAGATGAACTGATCAGAAGGGAATAAGGAGACGGTGACATGACAGTAAGGGAATAAGGGTTCAAAGAAGAATGTGGTCCCCAAAGTCAAATGCCACAGACAGGTAAAAGTTAGTAAGCAGTGAGAAAACACCTTGGTGAAATAAGTGTTTGGGGAAGAAATGAAAGATGAAGTGATTCACTACTGTAGTTCTTGTCAGCCATAGGCTGCCTCTCCAAGTGGCAAAACTATAGGCAGCTTTCCAGTCCCCTTTCCATTTACTCACCAGAAATGCCTGTGGGAATTTCATCATGTTGTTGCTATAACGAAATTAGTTATTTACTTAAAAGCCATAGTAAGACACTGCCCTCAGAGAACAAACATGATGGAGAACTTAGGAAGCAGCAACAGTCCTTACATAAGATTGACCTGGCCCTTGAACCCCAGTGAAGCACTCTCTCCAACAGTCTCCATGGCTGTCAAGAGGCTTCCGTCCTGAGAACACAACCCTCACACCACATTTCCAGCTGTCCTGAATACCAAAGTATACCTTCTTTTAAAAGTCCCAATGTAAAGTATCTTTAATCCTTCAAATGAAGTCACCCAAATGAATTACAGCCAGGGTTTGTCCCACTAGATACTAGCTTGTACATCCATATCTTTAGTCCATCTCTTCTTTTACATACACAAGATTTCCTCAGTATCATGACCTTCACTTCTAACTACCCAAGACCTATATCCCACTCCCCATGGAGTTCACTGTTAATATTGGACATGCCTGTCATGTCCTTGTGGGATGTTATGTCCTTATGGGAAACTGATAAGCGTATAAGAGATGAGCATGCTTACAGTATCATCTCATACCTTTTAGCTCTGAAGAGAGGATGTGATACAGTAAATAAAGTATTGTATTAAATTAGTTGTCAGGAGACCAACTTCAATGCTGGCTCTAGCACAGCTTTACAAATTATCCTTCTAATTCTAAAAACACTATATAAATATGAGATACCATAGTTGATATTTCTGAATTTTAAAGCAATATTAGGGAGTTCCAGGTGAAAGTATAATTAAGTGGCTTTGCCCCATTTAGACAGTTGAAGATACTTAAAGGTAGGTGCCAATCTAAATTAAAGGCAAGATATAGATAATTCAATATACTAGCTTACAGGTATTTATTACACTTAACTTTGAAAAGCATACTAGGAAAGCAAATCTTCTAGAAAATAAGAAAATGTCATCGAATGGATCCTAAAGTCACAAGTAATTATTTTTATTTTCTGAATTACTGTGAATTAATTGAAATTTTGCTATAGTATAAAAATTGCTTGATAACTTATTTACTATAATGTTGAAAGTTGAGATCCTATCACTGAAGTTTTACAACTTTCTTTCTATTTGACTCTGAAAGCCTTGGTATGATTTCCAAGTAGAAAATTTAACTTTTTATTTGAGATTTTAATTTTTCTTTAGTTAATTAAATTCAATTCTAATGAAAATAAAATTATTGAATAATTAATTTTTTTACTTCAACTGATTTGAGTTTGTATTTTGTTAGTCCCTAAAATTGTACTGTAGTGTATTTTCTTAGATGGGGGTAGATAGAAAGAGTAGCTTTGATATTAGACACACTTGAGTCACAACTTCTCACCAGACCTGTAACCTTGGGCAAGTGTCATGACTGTTAGATCATCATCTGTAAAGTGGGGAGGATAATACCTTTCTTGCTGTATTATTGGGAAGGATTAAATGATATAATATGCAAATTATTAGCACAGTGGTTGGTCCACTGTAGGTACTTAGTAAATGACAGGTGTTTTTAAAATTAATAATGTTTATTGGCTACAGCCATGGCTCCAAAATTATTAAAAGTGTATTCTAGATAAACAAAAAAGATTATAGACTTCATATGACCATAAGAGTTGCCTCTCAGTTAGGCAAAGATTGATATATATCAGATATAGATCCATAATCATTTGGCAGCAAAATAGGACCTGATTTCACTTGACAGTTAAAGCCTGACCTGAACCACCATGAGGTCTTTATTCCACTTTATATAAAGTTTCCTATGTTTCACTATAACATTATTAATTTTTTAATTTGGGGTACTGCCCTAGTTGCTGCTGGGAGTGCTAAATATATACCATACATCTTCTACATGACAATTCTAAAATCTAAAAACCTCTGAATCTTGAAACACAACTGGCCCCAAAGTTCCTAATAAAATACTATGGATCTGAAATTGCTTCCTTGATCTGCTACACTCTGGGTTTGTAAAAGGATAAAAATGAATGGAATGAAACAGTATCACAATTTTTTCAATTTGTTTAGAATCCCAAGAGACAGTCCAAGAAGTTTGCCAGATGTACTTTATGAAGCTACGTTCTGGCCTTATCATAGGAAACAGGACCTGTTACTTTAGGGGAAAAACCACCAGAAGGCATTCAATAAAAACAGGTAAGGGGAAACTACATTTCCTGGTAATTCTTCAATATAACAATGAACATCTATTTGTCTTCAGTTCCTATATCTAGATACATATTTTTTTCCCTCACCCAAATTTTCCTTCTGGAAATGAGTGAAGATGATAAACTATTTTAAGCCATTTTTAAAAGGTATATAACAAGTTTTAATATAATGGGGGAAATGGTTACATTATAATGTTAAGTAAAAACAGAGGATATAAAATTATATATATAGGCTACTTTGGAGATAAGCAAGTTTGGTTCCAGACCACCACAATAAAGTGAGTATCACAATCAAATGAGTCATATTCTTTTTCTGGTAGAAGATCTTGCCCTCAATTTGTAATAAATGCAACATCTGTAAAACACAGTAAAACAAAGTGCAATAAGGTGAGGTATATATATATATACACAACATCTTTTAAGTAATTTTTTTTCATTTAAAAGAAGTAAACTAAAATATTGACATGATTGCCTTTGGGGTGTTGAGGCATGGGTGACTAGTTTTCTTCCACCTGGAATCCAATGGGCATGCCCTTCTGGGAGGTAAGTGTGTCAGATGAAGTGTGACCCCTTCAAACTATGGAGCAGCTGAAGCCCCAGGGCCATCCACCACTGTCAGCAAGCAGGTTTGACTGGGACTCCAAAGTGGGGGTTAAGGGGGTGGGAGGGGATCTGGGCAGAATGGGGACTGATAACCCACTCCTAACCCCACCCCTTTCCTGCAGCTAGAAAGTACAGTAAGCCACATCTGCTACTCAGAGACTGTCAGCAACCCCATGAACGGTCTTCAGAGGACGGTAATACACCTGTCCAGCAACATAACAGAACAACTGGTGCTTCAGGTATCCAAGGTGTGGCTGGTCACAGCGTGGTGTGGGATGAGGAAAGAAGTAAGACACAGGACACTGGCAAGTGCTACTCCAGAAAGCAGCCCCAAGTCTATGTCTTCTTGTATATTAGACTCTTCTGTCCATTTTCTATTGATGTGTTCATTTGTGGTATCTAAAATAGGTGCAAGGTAGCTGCTCTAACAAAGCATGCACATTTTACAGTTAACATTCCATCATTATTTTGAAATATTTGCTATGGATTGTAATCCCATATATATTATTCCTGGGAAAAATATATTATCTTTTGCAGGAAAAAAAAACCCCAACACATCATCCCCCTGAATTTCAATATTTTGACAATGAAAGAAAAGGAGATGCTATTATTCTTAAGTAAAATTTCGACTCAGACATTTTAAATAGTTGTTAAAATGTTTTTAAATTGCATCACCTACTTTACTAAATAAAGTCCAAGTTGATGGTGACTATCAGGAAGTGGAGAGATAATTAAGAAACTTTACTAGGGATTGCATGCTGCCATTGCAAACATTGTTCCTGACACAAATGTCTTGAGTTCCCAGAAGCATACTGAAATTTCTTACTAATATTTTTAAATCATTTTACTTTAGAAGTTCACAAACAAATTCAATATTTAACATCTCATTAATATTTTACATACCTTCTTAGCATAATTCTATAATGTAAAGAAAATGTAATAATTTTTTTCTCCAGGACCCATATAGGTAGTTTCTAAATCTACTTCAATTTACCCCAGCATGCCCTTAATATATTTTCATTTTCTATGTGCATTGGGACATTTTTAAAAAGTTGCGAGTACTGCTCTAAGTGTCTCTGTTATTTAGCCAGAGGACAGAATGGCGCTCACACCTGTATTCTCCAGGACTATTGGAAGTCTCAGAGTAACTCTACACCTTAGTGATGGGTATTTATTAATCACATGTCTGCTCAAATACTGTCCCTTCTTGGACATAATCCCTTAGTCTATGGCGAGCCAAGAAGCAGAGGTTCCCTCAGGGAATGCCTGCCACTTTCCCAGCTTCTTTCTTCCCACTGAAACCTCCCATAAACATACTAACATGACCTCCGATGGCCTTCATGCAGTAAATTAGCATCTTTAATCTCATTCAAGTGGCACATTTCAGCCTTTGAGCTAAATTTAACTTGCACTAAAGGCTTTCATCTATCCAACAGTGATGGGCAAAGTACAACTCAAATTAAAACAACAAAACACTTGAGGAGGCATTTTTTTAATTGCTAAGATTGTTTATGAGAACAAGTTTTTGAATTCTTAACAAGATTTTCACTTGTTACAGAGCATTCTTTTTCCCTGAGCACCTACAATGATCAATCAGTTACTTTTGTTTTTGCGGATGGAAGTTATGAGATCTATGTTGAAGATTTTGGAAAAAAACAGGAGAAAGGTAGACTATTTCCTTTTCTCTGTAATAATATAATGATGACTAATAAGTAAACAATCAATTTGCCAAACCATAAAAAATGAATTAACTCAGTCATGGCAAATAGATTTTATGCTGTGCGCTAGCTCCAGTATATTGACAATGGATGCCTGAATATCACTGTGTTGAGGAGGATTCAGAAACTTAGAATTTATCAGGAAAGAATGCTGATATAGGGAAATGGTCTCTGTTGTGGAAAATGGAAGGAGGACCATACATACATATTTGATATCACTAAATTACCTACTAGATCTTTCCAACTTTATCAATACCACTAAAGTAAAAGCTCTGGTAGTCCTGGCTGGTGTGGCTCAGTTGGTTGGAATGTCATCCTGTGAACCAAAAGATCATGGGTTAGATTCCTGGTCAGCACACATGCCTAGGTTGCAGGTTCAGTCCCACATTGGGGCATGTATGAGAAGTAACTGATGTATGTTTCTCTCTCACATCAATGTTTCCCTCCCTCTCTTCCTTCATTCTCCTCTCTCTAAAATCAATAAGTGTGTCCTCAGATGAAAATTTAAAACAAAAAAAAAAGACTATATCAGTGCTATGAACAAATATTTTAAATACTTATGGAGAATTCATCAGAACATATCATACATTTTGAGACCTTTCTCAAAGCCACAAAAGTTTCACTTTTGTTAATATACAATAACAGAGGAGCATATTTTCTGATATTATGTATATGTTGGAATGAAAACGTTTTGATAATAAACAAAGGAATTTATGCTTTCTCTTTCAGATAAGGTGTTATTCCATTACCATGGCTCACAATTACAAGCAACAGGTAATTTGGAGGTCTGGGTAGCTCTAATGCTTGAATTCTTAAATTTGGGTAAAGTCAAATGCAAAAATACTCCATATGGGAAAGTGTTCTTTCCAGCCCAAGCTCATAGTAAAATCTTAGATTCTTAGAGGGTCTACTTTACCCCAAACATTTTGCAGTTTAATAGAATAAATGCTTGGCTATATTTAATAGAGATCCATAATAATAGTGGTTTAAGCTATACAAAACTCTATTTCTATCTTAGGTAGGGCTGGAATGACAGCTCTGTTGAACAGGTTGTCCAGGGACCCACCTCCTCTCTTTGTGGCTCTGCCAACATCTGTGTGTTTCAAGATTACTTGCCACCATGACAATGTCTAATTAGCAGGACAGAAGAAGATGGGTACATAAATTCTCTTTTCCATTAAGGACACAACCTGGAAGTTGTACCTGACACTTCTACTTGTCTTACATTGGTCAGAATTTAGTCACATTTCTACACTTAACTACAAAAAAAGACAGGCTGGAAAATACTCTATTTTAACACAAGAAGAGAAGTTGAATGTTAGGAGACAACTGTGTGTGGCTTTATATGCAGACAGGGAAGCTGATACCCAAAAAGTACTCATTACAGTCACAATTCCAAAATTAGAAAGCATATAAGAAAACTAACTTCTCTTTTTCAAGGGATTTAGGATTATGCCCTACTAGTCCAATGACTCTTCAGTTTTATTTGGGTGCAAATATTTCTAAGAGACATGTTGCTGAATTAAGTAGATATTTTATGACATGTTAGACTTTTTTGGGGGGTGCTAAATTTATTTAAATTAAAATGAGTTACAATATTAACTTTATAATTTACATATTTTTAATTGCAAGATGATGCTGTTGATGGTGAGAAATTAATGGTAAGCCTGAGTCCTACAAAAGACAAAGACTTCTTGCTGCATGCCAACAACCAGGAGTACTCTGTGGAGGTAATAGAAATATGTACTTACCTGTCTTGATTGATACCACTTATTTGTGCAGATCTGGGTATTTGGGGTATATTACAGGACTTTTGTTTGTGCTTTTGTATTGTACATAAAACACAATCAGTTACTACCAATAACTTGCTTCTGGAGTAGGAAAGAGGGGAATGGTATGTATAGCCTTGCTACTGAAATTCTGGTCTCTGCCAGGGGCACTGCATCACCTGGTAGCATATTATTACAGAAATGCAGAATTTCAGGCTCCCTCACAACTGAATTAGAATCAGCATTTTAACAAATCTCCAGGAGATTCATATGCACATTATAGTTGGAGAAGCACTGCTATATGGAATGACTCAAATTCTTCTTATATCAAATTCTTCCTATTTGGCTTTAGAAACTACTATGTTCTTCCAAGAAATTTTTCTTTGTAACATATAGTTTTCTTAGGCAAATACAAAACAAAAACAAAAACAAAAACCTCACTTTATATTCTAAGCATACTAAAGGGAAGGTCATAAACATTTCCATATGCCAAGATTTAGAGATAGCATATCAATCTACATTCTAATCATAGAATTCACCGCATAGTCTTTTTCAGTTAGTAAATGGCAGTGTTATATTTGTCATGATGACAAGTTATAAACATCTTAAGAAACAAAGTAGACAAAGGTGGAGACAAGGCAGAAACCATGGGAGTATAATATAGAAAATAAATTATATAAATACATGAAATTATATAAATACACAAAATGATAAAGCCATGCAAGATATTAACATAAACACTGGATTGTAACTAGCATCTCCCTTAACAAAACAGGGTATGGCGTATATAAATACTCAATAATAAGAGATGACCCATACTGAGCTCTATTAAATACCAAGCACTCAATATTTTACAAGTACTATCTCACTTAATTCTCACAGTAACTCTATGATATAGTTATTGTATCTGTCAGATATTACTGTGTAACAAATCACCACCCCCAACACTTAGTGACTTAAAATAATAATTATTTATATCAACCACATGCCTGTTGGTAAATTAGGGGTTGACTGATCTAGAAAACTGGTTAGAGTAAAAAACTGAGGCTTAAGAAATAAAGCAATGTGCTCAGGACTCAAGGATAATATTCAGCAAAAGAGGGTTACAAATCCAGAACTGTTGCATCTAGATATAGTCATTCTAAGCCATATCTCTCTCAAAGTATACCATCAGTGAATCAAATCAAATATTCCCTCTTCTTCGACCCTCTACTTCTTTCCCATTCCATCTTTTCCCATCACCTATTCAGTAAGCAGCTTTGCTAAAAATACCAAGTTATAAATAATTATTCTCCTTTAGTTTCTAACACAAGGATGTAAAGCTGACTCTGGACTTCCTATTCACATATTGGTTACTCTCTCTCTTGTTTCCTCAGCTACAAAAATGTGAAAATCCAATGCCAGACCAGACCTTCTTTTTACTTCATAAGGAGCCCGGGCCTTCTTCATGCGTTTCATTTGAATGTAAGAGCAATCCTGGAGTGTTTATAGGTGTAAAGGATAACCAGCTTGCTCTAATTCAATTAAAGGACCAAACTGAGCATTCTAGAAAAGAGAATATAAAATTTAAGCTCTCTTAATAAGTTTAAGTATGTGATGGAACTGGGTTGGGTAGCCCAAATAGCTGCCATTGAAGAGATTGTCAGAAAAAAAAAAAAAAGGTTGAGATAATATTTAAGGTAAATAGTGCTTAGCATGTTGTGGAATGTTTTTCTTATTATATTAAATATATTTTTATGTAATCCTCAGTTCTGTTTTTCATTTCCCTCTATATCACTGTATATTCAATACAAATATTGGTATATTAAATAGGGTGCTGATAAAGAGGCCTGCAAATATTCTGAAGACATATAGACCTTCACTTTTTTCTACTTTCAGCCCAGAGAGAACTTAATATTTAGAAATATTACAATTTCAATAACTGGCTATCCCTTCTGTTTGTGACATACTTTGTCCTTCTAACCTAGGCTTCCAGCGATGAGTGACTTTTGATATATTTGTCACCTTGGACACAATTTTTCTAATCTTTTCTTCATATGTGCACCAGTCTTTTTGTTGTCCAGCTTCCCAATGACCCCACTTATTATGAAATATTCATTTGATTTCTGTTCTGCTTTCCTTTCTTTTGACTAACTGTGTTTTTGATATACCTTTGGCATTCCTGAACTTCATTTCCAAATCACCTGACATCTGAATGCTAACACCTTTATTCTGCTTTATCTAACTGCTGTTGTCAAATTTTACATAAATCTATTGATAGCAAAATTTTTTATTAATCATCTTTGTGTTTTACTGATCTAAGGTAGTAAAATAATTTATACTCAACCATAATGATAACATTTTCAACTACTAATGGAATAGTTATTACTTATCTTAAGGCCTTAGTAATTTCTACTACAATTTTTCATAGCTTAACTGACAATAAATGATAAACATAATAACAGAATAATTATGATTATGATTTTTTCTGAAATTGTAGGCTTTTTGGTTTCTAATTTGTTGAGATCTATTGGATATAATTGCTGGTAGAATATAAGATAAAAGAGGCTGAGAATTACTGTATACAGGAAAACAAGTGTAGAATAACATACCTTTGTTTCATTACTTTGTCAATAATTTTACAACAGAGACAAAAATAAAAGCAGAATTTATATCATCCCCTCTGAAAAACACTAAATGTTAATCATGTTCCTCTGTATGATATACTTAAAATGATAATTAAGTAACCAAATATATATATTATATTGTTTATATTCATGAATAAACTGTATTTTTCAAAACTATATAAGGCCATAATGATTTTATTATAAACTGCCTCAATATTCTGAAATTCTTAAGTGAGAGTAAGCATATCTCAACCCACCAGTATTGGTATCTGGAGTAAGTCATTTGATACTTTTGATGATTCAAAACTAAGTAATATTTTCCAGACTTCTGGTCATAGATAAACATGGTACTCACCTCCTCATACAACCACATCAAAATTACAGCTAAACTATAGTTCAACCATCATTCATAACCATCAGAAATGGAGATGAATGGAAGTACTACAACTACAGAATTAAAGAAGAAACTACATCGTGACTGGCAGAGATAGTGGAATGGGCTGGTCCCATACCCACCATGGTAGATAAAAAGATGGATAGATATCTAAGGAATGAAGGGTCCTTGCCCCACACCAAGCCCCCCAGCCCAGGGTTCTAGTGCCAGGAAGATAAGTCCCTGTTAACTTCTGGCTGTAAAAACCAGAGGGTATTGAGACTGTGGAAGACAGAAACTGCCAGATTCCCTGGCAGTTCCTTTTAAAAAGCCCATGCATAGACTTACTCAGACTCACTCCCTCTGGGCTCCAGCACTGGGGCAGCAGCTCAGAAAGCATCAGGGACATTTGGGTAGGAATTAATTTGTCCAGCATCAGGGTGAGAGCTGGAGGGCAGCTTTCTCCCAGACAGAATTGCTGACAGAGGCAACTGTTTCATTTCTGAGCCCTTCCCCCCAGAGCTGCAGAGCCAGCAGGCAAGTGCCATATCTGAGACTCCATCAACCTGGCTCACACTGTCAGCCTACCTTGGTGGTTTCCTGAGGTCCTGCCCCATTCAACTTTCAGGCCACCCAAGCTGTTTCCAGTGACTTTTCCATTTGAATGGCTAGTCTTAGCCCATGCTTCAGATTTTCCTAACTTATCTCAAACAAGCAGCGTCTGGGTTCAACAAGCCTTGCATCTCTTGCTAAGTTGCCCCAGTCCTGGCACTAGCAGCAGCCACCCTTGGTTCACAGATTGGCCTTGCAGGGGTACCTCCAAGCCCAGCACAAGTAGCAGCAATCTGCAGATCATTTTTTAGCTTACGCTGTGTGACCCCAGAGAGGACACAGGCAGTGACTGACCTTGGATGTGCCAATAGTAATCAAGGCTCAACTAAACAGGAAGGAGTACCAGCCCACACAGTGGGTAAACCTTGAGTATCTAGCTTGGGTGATAGGGAACGCTATGCCAGTGAACCCTATAGGATACCTACTACGGTAGGCCAGCCTGCCAAGCTTTGGAGAAATAGCAGCTCTACTTAATACCTAGAAACAAACAGAGAAAGGCTGCCATAATGAGGAGATAAAGGAACATGGCCCAAGTGAAAAAAGAAAACAAAACTCCAGAAAAAGAACTAAACAAAATGGAGATAAGCAAGCCACTAGATGCAGAGTTCAAACCATTGGTTATAAGGATGCTCAGTGAACTTAGTGAGAACTTTAATAGAATAAAAAAGAGCAGGAAACCATGAAAAGAACCAGTCATAAATGAAGGATACACTAATTAAAATAAAAAACAACTTACAGAGAACCAACAATAGAGTGGATGAAGCCAAGAATCAAATCAGCAATTTGGAATGTAAGAAAGTGAAAAACACCCAATCAAAACAGAAAAAAAAATCCAAAAAAAAATGAGGACAGTGTAAGGAGTCTCTGGGACAACTTCAAGCATACCAATATTTGCATCATGAAGGTGATAGAAGGAGAAGAGAGAGGGCAAGAAATTGGAAACCTGTTTGAAAAGAGGACAGAAAACTTCCCTAACTTGGTGAAGTAAATAGATATACAAGTCTATGAAATTCAGAGTTCCAAACAAGATGAACCCAAAGAGGCCCACCCCAAGACACATCATAATTAAAATGCCAAAAGTTAAAGACAAAGTGAGAATCTTCAAGCAGAAAGAGAAAAGAAGTTAGTTACCTACAAGGGAGCTACCATCAGACTGTCAGGTGATTTATCAAAATTTTCAGGCTAGAAGGGATGGGCAAGAAATATTCAAGGGGATGAAGAGCAAGGGCTAAAATGAAGATTATACTCTACCCAGCAAAGCTATCATTTGGAGTCGAAGGACAGATAAAGAACTTCCCAGACAAGAAAAAACTAAAGGAGTATATCACCGCCAAACCAGCATTATATGAAATCTTAAAGGGTCTTCTGTAAGGAGAAGATCAAAAATATGAATAATAAAATGGTAACAAATACATATTTATCAACAATCAAGTAGAACAGAAACACAATCATTTTGATGGTTGCTGAATGGGAAGCAGGTGGGGAAACTGGAAAAAAAAAGTGAAGGGATTAAGAAGTACAAATTGGTAGTTAAGAATAGTCATGGGGAGGTAAAATACAGTATAGGAAATAGAATAGTCAAAGAATACATATGCATAACCCATGGACATGGACGATGGTGTGGGGATTGCCCGAGGGAGTAATCAGAGGCTTGGTAGAGGGGGGCAAGGAGGTAACATTGGGACAACTGTAATAGCATAATAAATGAAATATAATTAAAAATAAAAATTTGGTTAAAAAAAAACTGAGTAAGAGTTTCCCTAGTGAGCATTGTATCTTTTATACCTTTGTACTCTCATTGTCCATCATGGTGACCAACACAGAGTAGATATTCAGTGACTTTAATCCAAAATTAAATAGCCAACATGTACCTGCAATAGAACTTTAACCTGAGACTTCTGACTCCACATTTAAATATCTTTTAACCTAGCTATCTTATTTTTGATGTTTAATTTTTCTCTCATTTTAAAGTACTTTCCCCCACCACTATAGTCATTGTGATTTGATTAAAATATCAAATGTGTGGTGGCCTTTGTTACTTACTTGCATGTGTTTTGATGTCCACAAAACATTACTGGAAGAAGTCTGTCCATTTTATTGTATCAGAAATTACAATTATGTTCAAATTTATTTTCCCTCATTTTATTAATATTATTTGGATTTTTATGTATTTATTGAATATCTTGAAATATAGTCAAGAAAATTTTATTTGAATAAGTAAAGTTACTTGGAACTGGAAAAGAAAACTGAGAGTTGAGATTTGGGGGATTTAGAAAGAAAATTGCCAATTTAATTAGGATGCAACAGCTTAATTAAAGTCTTAAAAGATTGATTCATAACTCTCACATCTGCAGCACAAAACAAGCCAAAAAAATAACACTGTCAATCTTTGTACCTCATACTGAGAATTTCTACAGTAGATGGAGAAATCTTAAGCTGCAGTATCCCAGTGGGAGTTGGGATGGACTTTTCCCAAAATTCTTTCTTCCCTCATACTATCACCTACATAGCCCCAAAATCTCATCATCTAGAAATTAAATACATGCCATGTTTACTAGATTCTGCTAGACCCCATGAAAGCACAGAAGAAATTTAAGCTATGCTTGTTGTCCACATTGAACTTAAAACATGTACAATATGTATGAAAACTCCAATTCTGCAGTACACCATTACACAAAGGTGAGAGAGATCAGTGTGAATTTCTCATAAGGGAAAGAAATAGGACTGAATTCTCTATCCCCATACCCTAGTACCCACCCCTGATCTATTCATATATTAATTTTCAATGTCAACTTCTGGTCAAGATGGAGGTGTAAGTTGATACACTTTGCCTCCTTACACAACCAAAAGAAAGTCAACAACAAATTTAAAACAAAAAATAACCAGAATTGCCAGAAAATCAAAATGTATGGAAGTCTGACAACCAAGGAGCTAAAGAAGAAACATTCATCCAGCCAGCACAAGGGGAAGAGATGGGCGGCCCAGGTGGAGAGAACAAGTGGCAAGGAGGCAGATGGTGGACTGGGCAGTCCCACATTTGCATGCAGGTAAACTGTGAGGGGCAGCTGGGGAGCGAGATATACCACGCAACCCAGGGTTCCAGTGAGGAAAAAAAATAGCCTCAAAACCTCTGGAGGTAAAAACCTGTGGGAGTTGTGGTGGCAGGAAAACTCCTAGCCTCACAGGAGAGTCTATTGGAGAGACCCATGGGGTCCTAGAGTGTACATAAACCCACCCACCTAGAAATCAGCACCACAAGGGCCCAATTTGCTCATGGGCAGTTGGGGAAGGGACTGAAAGCCAGCCAAAATTGGAGCAAGCAGCATTGTTCCCTCTCAGACCCCTCCCCCACATAGAGCATCATAACACAGCAACCTGGGTTGCCCTGCCCTGGTGAATACCTAAGGCTCTGCCCCTCCCAATGTAACAGGCTTGCTAGACAAAGAAATATGGCCCAAATTAAAGAACAGATCAAAGCTCCAAAAATAGAACTAACCAATAAAGACATAGCCAACCTATCAGATGCACAGTTCAAAACACTGGTAATCTGGATGCTCCCTGAATTGGTTGAGTGTGGTCTCAAAATGGAGGAAAAGGTGGAGGCTATGCAAAATGAAATAAAGAAAAATATACAGGGAACCAACATTAAAGGGAAGGAAACTGGGACTCAAATCAATGACTGGGAGCAGAAGGAAGAGATAAACATTCAACTAGAACACAATGAAGAAACAAGAATTCAAAAAAATGAGGAGAGGCTTCAGAACCTCTGGGACAACTCTAAATGTTCCAACATCAAATCATAGGGGTGCCATAAGGAGAAGAGGAAGAGCAAGAAATTGAAAACTTATTTGAAAAAATAATGAAGGAGAACTTCCTCAGTCTGGTCAAGGAAATAGACTTCCAGGAGATCCAGGAAGCTCAGAGAGTCCCAAAGAAGGTGGAGCCAAGGAAGCACACACCAAGTCACATCATAATTACATTACCCAAGATTAAAGATAAGAAGAGAATCTTAAGAGCAGCAAGAGAAAAGGAGAGTTACCTGCAAAGAAGTTCCTATAAGACTATCAGCTGATCTCTTAAAAGAAATCTTTCAGACAAGAAGGGGCTGGCAAGAAGTTTTCAAAGTCATGAAAGACAAGAATCTACACCCAAGATTACTCTATCCAGTAAAGCTATCATTTAGAATGGAAGGGCAGG